GCAGACAGATGGTGAACAGAAAGGAAAAACGCTCTCGTTGGCAGAAAAGGTAAAACAGTGAAAGCAAACGAATTCAGAAAAATTGCTCAAAACTAGCTGAATTAGCATAAAGATGCAGAAAGATAAAGTTAGCTCAAAGACGTTTAAAGAAAGCTGAAGCAGAACAAAATTTAAGTGCGATAAAGATTTATAAACATTTTATTGGATTTAAAAAACATTGGATAACTCATTTTCAATTAGAAAAAATAGCAAAAAAAAAAAAAGCTAAAACAGCTGAAAAAGTAAAAGTTGCTGAAATACCAAAAGTCGTAGCTGACATGAATGAGCCGAACGTTTTGATTTATGAATTGTTGAATTAAYACAAAAACTGTGGAACGAGTTTGATGCTGAAAAACATGCAGAAGAAAAGTAATCAGTGTGTGAACGCTCAACAGCTTTAACATCGTAAAAACTGAACGAAGCTTCAACTGAAGGTAAAAACAAACAGGTGAGAATTAAAGGACAAATTTTTCATTATAGTTTGAGGTCGAAGTGTTTACGTCCAGCGAGACGCACGCCGGCTCTGTGTTCATGCAAAGCTTCATTCTGTAAGACGTCACGTCCAGCAGGGTGTTCTGTACCTTCAGCTCCGCCCTCTCTGTCCTCATAAACACCAGCCTGGCGTTGATCTCCTCCAGGCTGATGAGGCTGCGGTGACGGATGTAGTGCAGGAAGGAGGCTGCCTCCACATACTCCTGGATTCCTGAAGAAGAAATCATTTAGGCGCTTAGTCGAGTCGCTGCACTTGTTAAAAATAAAGTCAGATTTGTTGTTACGTTACAGACGATGAATAAAACTGGTTTCCTGGCTCTGTCGGGGTGGCTAAGATGACCCTGTCATTTGTGTTTTTGGCTCCTGAGTAAACAATAATCAAATAATCACAGGACGGAAGACGTCTGAAGTTTACTTTTGGAGCTGGAACTTGAAAGGTCCTTCCTCTAAGTTTGTCCCTGTGGCTAAAAACTACCAGGAGAAGAGACGGCAGCTTTAACTCCACTGACCCAACTGGGCTCGAACCGGCAGCCTCAGGATCGCTGCGGTTATGAAAATGCATTTTGTTTTATTCTGCAGAAACAGTTTTGAGCTTGTGGCTCAAAATTGAAAGAAAGAAAATGATGTGATACGGTTACACAAGTGTGGAGTTGAGTGGGCAGAGTTCAGCTCAGTTTATTTGCCCTGAAGGGGCAGTAACCTTTGGTCAACGAAACTCTGACAGGAGCAGTGTCCAAACAATGACTCGGAGGGAAAATGGCACGGTTTTAAAGGAATCCAAGATTAGTTGTAACATTTGACCTTATTTAATAAACATATATTTTAACTGTAAAATAAAGACCGTAAAAATACTGTAGGATGTTTAGTTTTGTAAATTTTTAAAAATATATTTTAACACGGACGGAGCCATTTTATTTA